TGAATCTAATACTGTGTATTCAGGGCAGGCCCTATTTTATGTGCACCACGGTCACGACTGTAGTAAACCGTATTACGTAAACGCACGGTTTACTTTAATTATGTATAAATAGGTAACTTGTCCATGACGCAGAGTAAATCCTTGTACCTTGTACTTTTGACTGTTATTGCGAATTTCATATTTATGGAAACTGCGTGATTAACTTGTTTTTTTTATTGATTACGTAAAACACTTCTAAGCATGTAAGCCAATCCCGTGGCTCCTTAGAGATCACGCCACGGGCATACATTTATATAAATATAGCAACTAAGTAGTCACTAAGTTAGAATTATTTTACTTTAGCTTAACTGCACATAGTTCTCGGGTACCGAGCGTAACCTCTGCCCACAAATTTCTACAATTATAAACTGTTATAGTCTGTAACTTTGTTAAACATAATAAACATTAATACTGTGAATATATACTTATTCATTTCTAAGTGCAACCTCATCGTCACTCAAGCTCAACAACGAAACGTCGAAGCACGTCATTAAATAATTAAGTGTACAAGTGTAGTACGAGAGTACTACACGACACACAATGTGCACTACGAATGTACAAGTGCATGTGCACTACGGTCTACAAAACAAAAATTAAATAATATACCAGCTACTAGGAAATATGAGTATTTCCTGATTTTTTTTTTAATTTAAATTTATTAAACTATAATTATTTTTATCAATTTTCTCCCGAGCTCCGCATGTTGTATAACATTTCGTGGTCAACCCCCCACGCCCTCCAACCTTGTCGTGTCCAGTCCGTGGCTATAACCATAGACCTTAAACTGAAGTATAAGGTCTATGGCTATAACCACGTTTAGCATTTAGTATAAAAAAAACGCTTGACAAGTCACTAATTTCACTAAATGTTTATATTAGCATTTCCTATACACCATACAATTTTGAAAATATTTTGACTTTTTTGAGCTGTTTACGGACATTTTCAGTTTTCAATTTTTTAGTTTTTTTTTCGATGAATATCAATAAAGTTTTATCTGTTGGGCCAAAAAGTGTAAAAATTTAATACAAGGCTCCTGATTTATTGTTACAATAGCAGTTGATAAATATTAAAAATACATAGGCACAATTTTTTTTAAAAGCATTTAAAGATCGAATTTCGACCAAATTTATCAAATTTAAAATTGAATAATTATTTTGTAGTGAAAAATGTATAAAATGTTCAAATTTTATATCTTAAGATTGATAATTTAAAACGAAATTCCATGTAGTTGATTCTGTTACCATAAAATCTAAAAAAATACATAAGCACAGTTTATTTTCATAGTCATTTTAAGTTAAAATTTGGATGATATTACATAAAAAAAACCTAGAATAACTATTTTAGTTATTTTGTTGTGATTGTATAATATCATTCGTGGGTACTTGAAACTTCGAAAGTACACTTTTATATACCTATCTATGATAGTATCAGGGTTTGTTGTTGAATGTATAATGAGTTATAATTACCTAATGGATATTGTGATATGATTAATTTGTAATTTATTATAGGTCAATTTTTTTCAATACCATAGATAAGTAGGTATATAATATGTCTTATACCTAGACTGACATAGGTACCGTCTCCGCTCAGAATCGTTTTTCTTATACAATGATGATTGATATTATTTATTTATTTATTTATTTATTTATTTATTATTAAGTTTAACGGGACAAGCCCTTTTACATAGGATATAATACATAATAAACAAGAACAACCATACATATACAAAATAATTAATACAGTTTGAAAGGTGAATTATAACAAAAATTTACAAATATATAAAAATTAAATTTCAATTAGATAGTAGGTCTACAGCTTTTGCTTTGAAAGATTCACGAGACATAAAAAAGAAATCGACTTCATTACAAATTGAATTACATAGTGATAGAGCTCTAGGAAAAAATGAATCTGAACATATTTTTTTTTTATAAAAAGGTACGTGAAATAAACAAGGGTTTCTAGTCGAATAACTATGAGTACAAAAACTAATTTTACTTAATAAATCAGGACAATCAATATAATTATTAACAAGATCATAAATAAACATGACGTCAGATAACTTACGCCTAACCTCACAAGGCTGAATATAAATAGAATTAGCTACTAATGAAAATGAATCTCTAGAAATGGGTAGGTTTAAACGAAACGCTATAGAGTTAAGGAATTTATACTGAACATTCTCAACCAATTTATCAGTAGAATTTTGAGCCCAGATTATTGAACCGAACTCAGTATGAGACCTAACAAGAGAACAATAGAGCATTTTTAATGTAAATACATTTTTAAATTCTTTAGTATTTCGTAAAATAAAACCCAGCATTTTAAAACATTTATTTATAACTATATTTGTATTATTAGAGAAAGATAAATTATTATTAAAGAGAACACCCAAATCTTTGACCATTTCAACTCTGTTAATATTAATATTATTAATTTGATAGTTAAAAATTATAGGATCTATTTTTTTAGTGAAAGAGATAGAATTGCATTTATCAATATTAATTGGTAATTTGTTTTGTTCACACCAAATACTAAACTTATTTAAATTATCTTGAAGATTAAGTGCATCATCTTGGTTTTTAATAGTAGAATACAATTTTGTGTCATCGGCAAACATTAACACATTGACTGAAGAATCGAGAACAGATGGTAAATCGTTTATAAACAGATTAAACAGTAATGGCCCTAGGTGCGAGCCCTGGGGTACTCCAGAACTTACAAAAATAACCTTAGATAGTGAATTAAACAACTTAACTAACTGACATCTATCCGTTAGGTAGGATGTCAACCAATTAAGAAAATTACCATGAAGACCAAATCTTTGTAGCTTAATTATTAGTAAATAATGGTTTACTTTATCGAAGGCTTTACTGAAATCTGTGTAAACTGAATCAATTTGTACGCCATTTTCAACGGAGTTAATTAAATCGGTATGGTAAGTCAACAAATTCGTAGACACAGATTTTTTAAGCCGAAATCCATGTTGATTAGGACAAATGTAATTAGATAGTAAATTAGATAATTTTTTTGTAATTAAAGACTCAAACAGTTTAGGTATTAAAGATAATTTAGAAATTGGTCTATAGTTAATAACATTACATTTATCGCCACTTTTAAAAATAGGGACTAAAAATGATTTTTTCCAAACAGTTGGAAAAGACCCAGATGACAAGGATAAGTTAAAAAGGTTATGTAAAGGTTCAGTAAGAACATTTTTGCATTCGATTAAGATACTAGGTGGTATACCGTCAGGACCCGCACTACTAAAAACATTTAGTGAGCTTAAAGCTTCAAAAATTTCATTCTCACTTATGTACCAAGAGGATAAATTTAAATTAGAAATAATATTATCAGCGTCATGGTTGGTAAATACATTACTAAGTGAATCAGACGTTGAGTATACGCTTGAGAAATATTGCGCAAATAATTGAGCAGACTCTTCATAACTACTGGCCGTAATATTATTATATGACATATTTTCGGGAATGGAAGATTTATTAGATTTTAGCTGTTTAATGTATTTCCAAAATGGTTTTACATCTGATAGTATTTTATTTTCTAAATTAAGAATAAAATTTGAGCTACAATGCAATGACATAATCTTACATTCTTTACGTAGTTTGGAAAACTCAAGGTAATCAGATTGTAAAGCACTTATTTTGAATTTTTTATGAGCCAATTTTTTTAATTTTACAAGTTTACGTAAATCCGAATTAAACCAAGAGGGACACTGGTTATTAAATATTTTACTTTTAGGAACAAACAATTCAATAAAATGATTTAAAATTTCATAAAATTTATTAACAGCAGAGTCAATATTCAAATCCTTAAATGAGTGATTGAAATCAATACTAGACAAACATTTAGAAAAATTAGAAAAATCGGATTTAAGAAAGTTATAAAAAGTTAATTGATAAGTACCATCATTCACAAATGAGTGATCGAAATTACATAATAAGTCTAAAGGAGGATGGTGTTCATCAGCTAAGGGGACAAAAGAACACCCTTTATTGACCATTATTTTATCGATATCACTAAAAATAAGATCTAGAGTTCTACCATTTTTATTTTTTATAAAATTGAATTGCTTTAGGTTTAAATATTGAATAAACGAATTAACTACAACGAATGCAGTAGGATGGGTTACTAGAGAGTAATCCAAGGTCCAATCAAAATTATTTAAATTATAATCCCCAAAAATAAGTATTTTATGGTCAGGGTTACTTGAAGTAATGTTCTCAACCAAATCGCAATGTTCATAATAAATGTCTCTACTGATATTAGGAGGAATATAAACACAGATTACTAAAATTTTAATTGACCTAAAAATAATTTTTAAAAATATTTGTTCGATTCCAATGATAATCGGAACATCAATTCGATTACATTTTATACCAGATCGTATACCAATTAATACACCACCACCTCTAGATTCTTGTTCATTTTCTCTGTCCATACGAAAAATATGAAAATTATTGAGACCTAATTCTGCATTACTAACTTTATTATTCAGCCAAGTTTCGGTCAGGAGTAATAAATCACAATCAATAACACTTGTACAATTACGAAAATAAAACAATTTGGTCAAAAGACCTCTAACATTCTGGTAATTAGCATGTAAACTTAAAAATTTTGAGAATTTTTTACAATTTTATCAATAACAACAATACCCGGTGTACCTTTAGTAAATTTGATTGTGAGATTTTGTTCACCACTGGATTGGCGTGCGGCTAATTGATCCCGTAATTTCTTCATTTGTTCACGTTGAAATAGAGTTCTATCTGAACTTATACCAATATTTGAAGAATTAGGAGGGAGGCGAGATAAAATATGTTTCTTATTTTTCAATATATCGAAAGCATCACCAGCTGAAGAGAAAATTGCTTTAATTGGACGATGTTTATTGGGTTGATAAGACTTCCCGAGACGAATAACTTTAATCGGTGTTTTGTTATCGGACGATGTATCTTTGATAATTTTAGATATTTCTTCCTTATCGTAAAGTACTCTTTCTTCAATATTACTAGACGTACATTCCGGAATATTATAAAATAATACATTCGCAGCCCGAAAATTTCGTTCGTTCATTTCGTTTATTATAAATTCGTCAGATCTCGATGAACACGAATTATTCTTAAGATTTTCAACCTCAACCAACAAAGAACTGATTAGTTTTTTTCAAATCCGGTAATTCATTTAGTCCTTTATCGCATGAATCGCAAAAATATTTTAATTTACGATTTTTCAAAGTAAGACATTTAATCTCAGAAGCTAATAACCCAGAGCACTTGTGATGAACAAGTCTCGGACAACTGTCACATTTTAATTGAGCGTCAAGATCATTAAATTGTAGCTCACAAACACCGCAACTATTAGTATTCAAAACCATTATAATAAAAAAAAACCGAACTAATGCGATCAAACTGATTAAAAATTGAACAATATTACGTAAGTAAACTGATAAGACAGGTAAACGCAACGAACGTGTTGTCTAATCGACGGTTGAAACTCAATTTGAATTGAATTCATTGAATTCAAATTTAATACTATTCATTATACAGTGACCCACTTGTAACCTACTGTACAGCAGAGCACCTTTTTTTTTATTAAGTATTTAAGTAATTCATTATTATAAGTTGTATAATTTGTACATTTTGAATAAAGAAAAACAATTCTTGCATATTTTTTGCATATTTTCATGTTTTAATAATAAATAAATCATAATACAGAATTATTAAGCTTCGCTGATGATACAGCTATTCTGCTATCGGAACTAACTGTTGATAAACTATACAATGAAGAAAATAAAATTTTAAATACTGTTTATGCTTGGTTCTGTAAAAATAAATTAAAATTAAATCTTATGAAATCAAAATATATTTGTTTTACACAGCAACCATCAAATACATTAATACTAAATAACCTAATAGTACATTCTTTAAAATGTAATAAAACTACAAATACAGTTTGTGATCCTAAATGTATTATACTAGAAAAAGTACAGGAAATAAAATATTTAGGGATAATTATTGATTATAGATTTAAATGGGGAAGTCATATAAATTATTTAAATAACATGCTACGTAAATTCTTCTATTTCTTCAAAGATGCAAGATATGTATTTAATAAATACTATAAAAGAATAATTTTCTTATCACTAGTACAATCAATTTATACTTACGGGATATCAATTTGGGGTGGAGCCTCAAAATATATTTTAACAAAACTTATTGTCACTTTAAATCAGGGCTTGAAACCGGTAACCAATTTTTCCCGGTAACCGGTGACCATGAGTACTTTTTGGACTGGTATCCGCTTCCCGGTTCTCGAGTTTCAATTTTGAGAAGCGGTTATCAATTACCGGTAATCATGGAATTTGATAAAGGGGGAAATCTATAACGGTAACCGTTTATTTTTAGAACCGGTTAATTAATCGGAAGTATACAAAACCGTAAATCTCAAACCAATTAAAGTAAAAATTTTTTTTTTAAATTATATTGAATATTCTAAATAGAAGAAAATAATATTTATAAAATACTAAAATAGATTATTTTAGAACTACTAAGTATTAAAATTTAAAAATACCAAAACAAGCGTGTTTGATTGCGGAATCGTATCGGCGCAATAACAAAAGATTCTCAGTAGTCAGTACCTATAATATAGGTACTGAATACTGATACGAATGGTAGAAACATCGATGAATACGGGCTGATACATATAGATATAATAGTATATAACCCTTGCATGTACGATATTGTACCAAGTTAGTCCAAGTACTAGGTAATAGGTACGTTATAACTTATAATCAGGGACTGTTGATATTCATTATTTAATAATAAGTTCGTTACATTAGTTCGTAATAATAGTAATACTGAACAAAACTGTGTAATCATCTATTACTTATTTGTGCTATTACCGTGCCTACTCGCCCGTCAGCTACATTCCATACCAAATAATACGTACTAACTACTAACTGATAATACTATAATAGTCAAATGTTAATAACCAAATATTGTCACCATCTATGATAAAATAAAATCTATTTTATTTTAGTCTTGTTTCATCATTATCATCTGATTTGCTGAACGAAATTATGATTATAAGAGCGAATAAGATGGGTTTGGAAATTTAAGATGTATTTTAAATGTTTATGTTTAATGTTAAATATTTTTAGTAGGTATACGGTGATACACTATAGAGTATAGACTACACAGACTATTTTTTTTGTTTATTGTTTGGAGTTTTTCAAGTACTAAGTTTGAACTTGTTTACTTGATAAAATGTTTTGTATTTTAATTTTTTTCATAATTATAAAACTGTTATCATTTATTTTATATTTTTAAGTTTTTATGTATCTTAAAGAAGAACAATAGATATAGATACATACTACTTTTATGTAGTTGTCGTTTTTAATCTTTTTTTTTTACGCCTCTTCTTATCTCCAGTCATACCACAACAAAATGCATGAATAGTTTCAAAAATGACATGTTAAGTTTGATGAAAAAAATAGAGTAGGTATTAAAACAAAAAAAAAAAAAAAAACGGTTTTGTGAGGTAACCGGTAATTTTGAAGATTTAAAACCGCTTCCAAATAGATAACCGGTAATCCCATTTATAAAATTTATTTCGGTAAGCGGGAAATGATTATCATTATTTCTAAAAACCTCGATAACCGGTAACCGGTTCCAAAAAATTTTCCGGGTCCTAACGGAATATATCACATCTTTATAGAGCTTAAAGATTTTATATTTTTTTACTTAGCCATTTTTACAAGTAGTAGGTTTTTGTTGTGATAATATTATGTAAGTTTGTTAGGCTTCGTATTACATGTAAAATAATTGAAAAAAAAACTTTTAAAATCAGAAAACGTGTGTGTTTATAGTGTGTAGTCAAATAGTTTTAAGAAGTAAAATATTATGGACTTAATCAAAAAGTAAAGAAAATTATATGTATAAAATAGGTACAGAATAGGTTAAAAATCCAAACAAACTAAAAGCCCGAAATATTGGTTAAAATATTATTACAATAATATAAGTTATAACAATACGATTGTCTCAGGAAAAATAAAAGCACTCGAAATAAGAATATAAGAACGATGGACGTAGTCGCTGGCTAGTAATAACTAATAAACATATGGGAGGATTTCGATTTGTTTGGTCTCCATGACGGAAGTAATCAAAATCTCGTTCACTTTTAATTCAGTGTTCTTATTTCTTATTTCTTATTTCTTATTTCTTATTTCTTATTCTTCTCTCGTGGTATTTGCACAACATTAAAAATGGATACAATCCTCCCGAAAATTAATTTCAACAACGACAAGCAAAATAACGAATATGTATTGGACATCGACGAAAGCGTTATCGAGACGTCAGACGTCATCGACGAAAGCGTTATCGAGACGTCAGACGTCATCGACGAAAGCGTTATCGAGACGTCAGACGTCATCGACGAAAGCGTTATCGAGACGTCAGACGTCATCGACGAAAGCGTTATCGAGACGTCAGACGTCATCGACGAAAGCGATATGGAGACGTCGGACGTCATAGGCGCATACATCAAGGAGATGTTAGACGAAATCATCGACGACATTGTGACCTCCGATGATAAGTATCTACAGGAATCCGAAATTAACGACATAATCGAAGAAGTGGTTAGGTCAATGTGTTTGGTTATTTGCGGTGATGCGTCTCAGCCGGAAGACGCACCATCGACAGAGTTCAGTGCAATATCGACTGTCGAATCCACTGCAACATCTGAAGGCGGACCTCAGCAGGACGTTAATGAAGAGCGAACTCCGGCTAAGGGAGCAACACCCGTGCAAAGCGCTCCACGACGGCTGAACCCGTTTTCGGTGACGTGGAAATTCGTCAAACGGGTTGTACGTGGAATCTGTTGCTGCCGAGGTTCAAGAAGTTGATACGGCCCTTGGCCGAAGACATCGGACAGGAGACGGCGACGTAAAGGATCGGGGGATACGGAAAAGAGCATGGATGGTGCCCGGCTTTTATTGAAAACTGTCCAGTAGTTTTGGAGTATATCAGTTATGGACAGACATACATGTGTTGCGAACCAGATGTGGAGTTCAGTTGACAAGGTCGAATCAAATGAAGTAAAACACGTAGTCGAACTAATTATTATTATACATTTATTGACCTAAGGTTAGTGGTTAATACTTTTTAAGCACTCAGAGTAATGTTACAATTTAAGACAAATATCCCTAGCATGAATACTGTCAACTAGTCGTCACGCAGAAATAGTGTGTCTGGTCTCCCTGATGGAGTTAATACGATTAACACACAACGATTAATACGATCTATACAATGATACATATATTAAGGTGAGCAGTGACTTAAATTATAATCAGTATATCATGGGTACGCGCAGACATTTAAAATAGTACGGCACTACGGCGGCATTTACGTATACGCATTTTATGATGACGAGAAACGTCCATAGAGTAATAAAAGTCGCTCCCGAAGTCCCGACTGAGCAGTGAGCACAATTTGACGGCCGGCCGCCGACTACGGGTAGCGGATCGCATGCGGATCGCGAAAACACTTAACAGCGCGTTCTCTCGGCCGTTACACGCGTACACGTTTTGATGTAGCGTCCTCTTAAAGTATTTAGTATTTATTTTATCAGCTATGCTGTGCTTACTCCACTATAGTTGATACCAGCAGGCTGGCACGAACTGTCTTTCATAATAAAACCACAGAATAAGACTCGCTTCACACGGTTATAAAATAGGGATACATTTGACAATAAGCTGAAAAAAAAAAATTTTAATTACATGCATGAATCAGTGGCGCCAAAATATATATTTACTTTGCGTATAGTAAGGTAATTATAATAAATAGGTGGGTGTCAAAATTTTATGTGGAGGTGTCTAATGCCATAGTTAAAATGTTGGACTTCAGCGCCACTGGGCCAAGAATATTTTATTAATTTTTAATAGTAATCATATCGGCGCATAGGAGCATTAATGGAGGACCAATTATTTATTCTATTATGTCAGTGGTGACGTCGCACACCCTGTACACCCCCAAATGACGCCTCTGTCGTACATTACCCTGGTTAACGGTTGAACTAGTTTAGAAATTACATCCCCGATAGTCGTTAGCGCTAACCGCTACTGACACACGTAGGGTTGGTAACGGTGAAACAGTACTTAAAGGAAAATATTATTATATATTCATAATTATAAATAAATAATTATTTAACTGCCGATAAATTGCCAGTGCGTTCATTACTTGTGTTTCTAGAAATCTGGAGTGAACCCATGCACAGGCATGACTTGCGAAATTTGATCCAACTCAGGTAGGTACATACATTATAAATTGCGGTGCATAATATAAACTTTTTTTTCTAAGTTTCTGATTTCGTATTAAGTTTTTTAATTTTAATCACGTAAAAATAAACATTTGTAAAAAGTATTATTAGTATTAAAATTATATTTTAAAATTACTAAATACAATTTCATATAACCTACCTAGTTATTTATATATCTGATAAAAGGAATATTGTTTTTTATGCCTAATAAAAAATTAAAACTGCTTTAATTATTATCAGAAGATAAAGCTTATTTCAAAATTTGGGGGTCATATTCCCGAACCTTAATCTAATATTTTTTTGGGTGGGGGGGGGGGAGTGGTGCAGTAACCTCTCCCTGGATATACCACTTTAGTGCACGATCTGCGGACGACGTCTGGACACGCCTATAAAATGTTTGTAACTATCTAAATATTTTCCTTGCATATCGCTTCGTTCTAACCTGACAAACATACAATCAAACAATATTCTTTTTCGTGACCTGAAAACTAAATGTGTGAGCTACTTTTGGCTACCGATAGGATATGAAAATACCTACCTATACAAGTGTAAGCAACCCACAAGTTTTTTATTAAACTTTTATTGAAAACTGTCCAGTAGTTTTGGAGTATATCAGTTATGGACAGACATACATGTGTTGCGAACCAGATGTGGAGTTCAGTTGACAAGGTCGAATCAAATGAAGTAAAACACGTAGTCGAACTAATTATTATTATACATTTATTGACCTAAGGTTAGTGGTTAATACTTTTTAAGCACTCAGAGTAATGTTACAATTTAAGACAAATATCCCTAGCATGAATACTGTCAACTAGTCGTCACGCAGAAATAGTGTGTCTGGTCTCCCTGATGGAGAGCCTTTATATAGTAGATAACAGTCAGAAAACATGGTCCTTTACAAGGTCCCACTTAAGTATTCGCTATGGCTCTTCTAGTACTTTAGAAACTAACTTATCCTTGTGGCACTCGTTAATAGTAATTAATATATTGTGCCACGTACACCATGCGTAATACTGTAGTAATAATATTATATATTTGTGTGGTCCTAACCTTGGCTATTGCAACACATGCATTTTTACATATATAGAGTAAATAATAATAATAATTATTGACGTAGACTTATACTTTGTAACGTAATTTGTCAAATAAAACAACAAAATGTTCGTGCCTAAAATTACCCATGTTTATAATATTCCTATATTTCCCCTATATTTCCTATTTATCCCCCTTAAATTTTACATGTAAAATCATAGGCTGCTCTGTATAGGCAATTCGAAGTACACACACCGCTCAAACTTGCATTAATTACTCAATATAGGCAACCCACAACACACATAAACTCGTCACACGTCACCCCATCCTACACGTGAACGACATATATTTTACCCCTTCCCCCTCAAATACATTAACTCGCTACCCTTTAAAAAATATATATAATCTTCTAATTCACATTTGTATCGTCTATATCGATCACTTGCCCGACATATATTTTACCCCTTAATAATCAAATACATTACCTCCCTACCCCTTTTAAAAAATAAAAATATAATAGTCTGATGTACATTGTATCGACTATATCATACATACATACGTCATGCTCATAATATCATATAAGGTAACAACATAACACATATCTAAAAATATTATACCATTTTCAGATTATAATCACATTCGAACCTAAAGCATCTCGCTAAAGCATACTTTATACATCGAAATGTATCACACACACACACACACACACACACACAAACTCACACATAGTCACAGTTATTACAATAAAACATTCCAATCCAACAGAGTACCAGAATAAATTATATTTTACACCCCACCACCCGCCCTGCACCATAACAACATCATCCGACTACAGACCTATACAAGCCTGTAGTGACACGTCCGAGTATTGTCGATGAATTCCAGCCATAATGTACACAGAGCAATATGAGATCAGTCCGTTTACTACCGTTCAAGTGTCAAGTCGAGTTATTTCAGAGTTATTAAGTGTTTTTAAAGTGTATACAAATTAATATTTTACAAGTTTTATAAAAATCAAATTATTTCGAATGAGTTCGACTAGACAGTGTTCTTCAGTTTTTCATCAAACGTAATCATGTTCCCGTGTAGTAAATGTGGTAAAACCTTTACTCGAATCAGTAGTCTACTGATTTTAGAGTAAACTACTCAGAGTTTTAGAGTTCAAACAATCGGATTGGCTTGCAAAATACATTAAATTAAACACCGAAATGAGAAAAAACGCGAAGAATGAATTCGAAAAGGATTTCTTCAAACTCTTAAACAATGCCGTTTTTGGGAAAACCATGGAATCTTTAAGATAACGTTTTAAGATGGAGCTAGTTTCATGTCCACAAAGATTACAAAAACTCATCAACAAGCAAACATTTAAACATTATACGACATACAGTGAAAATTTTGCTGCTGTCTCATTGGAAAACAAAATTATCATGTTTAACAAGCCAATATATATAGGTACCAATTTTACTTGCATAAAAAAAAAAAAATTTCATATTTTTAATACCTATTTATCATTTTTATTTATTTTTTTTAGGTTTCGCAGTATTGGACATCAGTAAAACCATGATGTACGATTACCATTTCAATGTAATGAAGGCGCATTATGGTAATAAAATCAACCTCATGTATACAGATACAGGTAAATAATTATTATTCAATTTTTCTATTACAAACATTATATTTATTTTTTTTTCTAGATTCACTGATATATCATATTAAGACTAACGATTTTTACAAAGATTTGAAGTGCAATTCAAACTTACTTAGCCGGATGGATACTTCAGATTTACCGATAGACCATCCATGCTACATTGCCGAACGAAAGAAAATTCCAGGACTGTTTTCCGATGAGGCAAAGGGACAGCCAATTACCAAATTTATTGCGCTTAGAGCAAAGTCATACGCTTACATTTTGAACGACAAGGAGAAAATTAAGGCAAAAGGCGTCCGAGGGCATGTAGTTAAAAATCACATGACTTTCAATGATCATTTCGATTGCCTTTTCGCCGACGACGAAAAAGAGAACTCTAAACTGTATACCAGGGAAAATGTATCCTTCAGATCATTCAACCATAAGATTCGAACAATCAAATCCGAAAAATTATGCTTCAACCGACAAGATTATAAGCGGATAGCACAAGCCGATAGAATACATACCTACGCTCATGGACATTTTAAGCTCGATTGTTAATTTTATACATAAATATAATATATTTGTAAATTATATTTAATTTTATAAATGTTAAGGTTAATTTATTTTTATTTTGTGAAATATATAGATATCAATTAGTTTATTATTTTTTTGTAAAATAGCTTTGTAGATATTATTTTGTAGATATTATTTTGTTTTGTTTTTTTTTATTTAAATTTCTTTAAATTTCATAAAAACTGTATTCATAGAGCCAAATTCATCAGCTATATAATATAACACCTATAATATCCAAAAAATTATGCTTCAACCGACAAGATGATAACAAAATAATATCTACAAAGCTATTTTACAAAAAAATAATAAACTAATTGATATCTATATATTTCACAAAATAAAAATAAATTAAC